TTCCATGGAATTCCTGATGGGAACTGGGGTGGGAATTCAGCCACCTCCTCCAGTTCCCTCCTTGAGACTCCACCAGAAATGGCTTGGACAAAATTCCAGTGAAATTCCAGCCTGGAATTCCAAAACTGAAACACTTTTTACCCAGACTGCCCCAGATTCTCCTCATTTCCCAATCTGTGAATAAACTCTGACCCAAAAGTGAACTCGGGGCCAGCTCCCAGCACCACACCCTGGCTCCCACGGATTTTTCCATGAGAATTCCTGCAGGAACTCAGGCCAGGATTAGGAACTCAGGCCTGGATCGGGAATTTGGGATATGATCAGGAATTTAGGGTATGATCGGGAATTTGGGATATGATCGGGAACTCGGGCCAGGATCAGGAATTTGGGATAGGATGGGGAACTCAGGCTGGGATCAGGAACTCAGGCCTGGATCGGGAATTGGGGATACAATCAGGAACTCGGTGACTCACTCTGCTGGGGTGCCTGGGCCTGGGGCACGGTGCTGCGCAGGGTCAGCGTGGCCGGGATGACCGTGGCAAAGGCGTTGGTGGCCGGCCGGCCAGGCCCGGCGCTGCCCGGCCGCACCTGCGCCACCGGCGAGAACACCTGGGGAACGCCAACTGCTGGTTTAACAAACTGGGTACCTGGGGCTTCAAACACAAACAGAGAGCCGTGATCCGACCCCAGTCCCAAGAAATATGGGATTTACAGCTTTATTTGGTGTTTACAGCTTTTATTCTTATTAATAACGATTATTATTACTATTATTAATGACGATCACCCGGCACAAAGGTGACGGGGCCCACTGGCCCATGAGGCTCTGCACTGACCACACCTCATCACCATCACCATTATTAGCATTATTCCCATTACTACCTGTTACTGAATGGTTCTTGTTTGATTAATGAATTAATTACCTGGCACGAGGGTGATGGGCCGGACGGTCTGGCCCTGCTGGACATTGAGGACGATGCCCACCTGGTTCATGGGGCTCTGCACGGGCCGGACATTCTGCACCGGGAACCCCTGGAACCCAAGGGATGCATCAGCCACAAAACCGTCCCACACCAACCCAAAAATAATCCCTGGAAACCAACAGATCCGTCACCCCCGGGCCATTCCTGAGGGAATTCCAACCCCAAGAATAGCCTAAACAAACCCAAAAATCACCTGGGATTGGGGTTGGGCTTTGGGATTGAGATTTAGGACTGGGTTTAGGATTTGGGTTGCGGTTTAGGACTGGGATCAGTACTAGGGTTCAGGATTGGGATCAGGATTGGAGTTTGGGGTTCAGGATTGGGGTTCAAGGAAAACAAAACTTCTGGAAGGTTTGAAGTTTTGTTGAGCCAAACCCTCCACGGGGTCCAACCCCCATCCCACAACTCTGGGGGGATTTTGGCGCGATGGGAAAAGAAGCACCAAAAACGAGCAAGAAATGGGAATCTTTCCCGGGACAGCGCGGTTTTCCCAAGGATCTCCCGCAGAGCTTTGGGCCGGGAGCTCACCTGGGTGGTGATGAAGATGGGCTGGGTGCCCGCGGGCGGGTTGGTGCCATGGTTGGCGTTCTGCATCAGCTGCACCGGCCGCAGCAGGGGCTGCGTGACCACGGCCCCCAGGCCGGGCGCGGGGCTCTGCGCCAGCAGCAGCGACTGCCCTCCCGGCTGGACCGCGGCATTCCCGCCTGGAAAACAGCCACAGCACCCGTGGGGAAGGGGAAAAATCCAGGGGAATATGAGGGGGGAAAACCCAGGGGAAAAAATCAGTGGGAAAAGGGGGAAAATCTATGGGAATATGGGGGAAAATCCAGGGGAAAAGCAGGGGAAATCCAGGGGAATATGAGGTAGAAAATAAGTGGGAAAAGGGGGAAAATCTACGGGAATATGGGGAAAAAAACAGGGGAAAAATCCAGGGGAATATGGGGGAAAATCCAGGGGAATATGGGGGAAAATCCAGGGGAAAATAAGTGGGGGAAAGGGACAAAATTAAGAGGGAAAAGGAGGGTGATCCATGGGAAAATCCATGAGAATATGGGGGGAAAAAATCCGTGGGGAAAGGGGAAATGTAAGTGGAGAAATGGGAAAGTGGGAAATATGGAAAATCAGCGAGGAAATGGGAAACACCAGGGGAAAAGGAGGGAAATGAAGTGGGAAAAGGGGGAAATGACCTGTGGGATTTTTTTCCATGGAATTGTAATCCTCCACCACGGAGTCCTCGATGACGTCGCTGATTTTCTGCCATGGCTCCAGCTCCTCCTCCTCACATTCCATGAAAAGATCCGTGTCTGCCATCCTGGAAAAATGCAGGAAAAACAGGAATTTGGCACTAAAAAATTCACAGGGAATTTTTTTTTTTCCAAGGGGAGGAACGGGAATAATGAGTTTGGGCTGGTTTTAGATCCTGAAATTCCAAGGGAAAACAAAAGGAGCTGGAAATTTTCAGGTTCTGGTTTTATTCCAGAGAAATCTATGGAAAAATCCTGGATTTGACACAAAATTGGAATTTTTTCCCACCTCTCCCACTAAGGCATTCTAGGTTATTTCTCTGGTTTAAAATCCCTGTTTCTTTCCAAGAGAGTCTGTGGAATTTGGGATTAAAATACCCAGGATTGACTCAAAATTGGAATATTTTGCCTCTCCCACTGAGGATTTCCAGGTAATTTCATGGTTTTAAAATTTTTAAATCCAAAAAATTTAAGATTTAAAAAATCCCAAAGGATTTTTGGTTATCCCAAGATTCCCAGCTTGGAATGAGCAGCAGGAGCTTCTGTCTGGGGGCTTTTAATTAAAATTAGAATAAAATAAAAATAATGGGAGGATACTTCCAAGAATTTTGAGATCAAAGGAAAAATTTGCAGAGATAAAACCAAAAATTAACCAGAGCTTCCCACCCTGGGAATTCTCTCCATCACTTCAGTTTGGGATGGGGGAATTGTGGAAAATTCTCCTGGAATGGGGGGAAAAATGGGATTTTGTTGTCTCCCACCCCGCAGGCAGAACCTTGGAATGCTCTCCTGCCTCTTCCCAAAAAATTCCTCACCTCCAGGCCTCAGGAAGCTGGAAAAATAATCCAAAGAATATCAGCAAAGGTTGGTTTTCCTTGGCTTTGAGGTGGATAAAACACCCAAATTAAATGTTAATAATAATTAATAATTACTGCTAATAATTAATAATTACTAATTCTAACAGCCCTAAAACATCCAGGAATTGGAAAAATTCTGAGAATTCTGAGGAATTTGGGAAACAAAAAGCAAATTTCCTTTGGAACTACACCCTTCACCTTCCCATCCATAAAAAAACCCAGGAAAAACCTCATCCCATTAATTAATCAGATTTAATTTGTGCTATTTAATCATTAAAACCTTTTAAAATGCACCTTTTTTTTCCCTTCTTTTTTTTTTTTTTTTTTTTTTTTTTTTTTTCCAGCACCTTTGGGAATTTTTCTGGGGGGATCCCTCCCATCCCCTGCCCACACTGGGATCAGGTGAATCCCAATAAAATCCAGTGAATCCCAATAAAATCAGGTTTTTGGGAAGCAGGATCCCATCCCTCCCCAGCTCCCTGGCACATCCCAGCCCCAGGGAATTCCAGGAAAACCTCAAGCACTGGGAATTTTCAGAGCAGCAGCCTCGGGGGATCTGGGGGATGGAATCCCAAATCCTGCTGGAGGAAGGGAATTCCTGCACTCCTGAGCCTCTTCCAGGAGTTTTGGGCTCCCGGCTTGGGTAGGGGAGAAAATTAGGAGTTTTCCCATTTTCCTGCTTGGATCCGGGCGGGATGGAGCCGCTGCTGAGGGTGACAGTGGAGGGACAGCACAGGGACAGGAAAGACTGGGAAGAGAGATGGGAGGTGATCCCAAATCCCTGAGGAGAAGGCTGGGATCCCAATCCCAAATCCCTGAAGAGATAGGTGAGATCCCTGACTAAGAGTGCTGGGGTGGCAATCCTGGACCTCTCAGGAAAAGGCTGGAACGCCAATCCCAAACTCCCGAGGATGAAGACTGCGATGCCAATCCCAAATCCCGGAGGAAGAGGACTGGGATGCCCAGTCCCTGCGGCCGAGGGCTCCCTCCCCTCACGGCGCTGGACAGGGGCACTCACTCAGCGAAGGTGAAGCACCAGCAGGCCAAGGATGATGGGGGGTGGTCTCACCTTGCAAACCGCTGATCCCAGACCCTCCCTTTTTCCTTAGCCTCCCCTAAAAACCGGGAAAAGGCCGCTTCTCCCGAGAACTCCGGGAAAAGCCCCCCCACGCACCCTCAACGTATTGTGGCGGCTAAGAAAGAGAGTGAAAAATAATCCCCGTGCCCAACATGGCCGCCCACCAGCGAAGCAGCGCCGCCAGAGAGGAGGGGGCGGCAGCACCGGCAGAGGGGGAAAAGGACGGACACGACCGCCCCTTCCCCACTCCGGCGCTGGCGACCGGGGGCGGGGGGACCGTGAGGGAACCGTGAGGGAACCGTGAGGGGATCCCCGGTATGGCGGGAGGGGGTGCGCGGAGGGAGCCGCGGCGGGGCCGCATCACCGCCGCCCCCCTCTCCTGAGGGCGGCCGCTTCACCGCGTCCCCCGGGCCGTGAGGGCTGCGCGCGGATCCCTCCGCGTCCCTCAGCGCCCGCCCGGGCCCGGCGGGAGCGGCCGCCGGAGCCGCCGCGGCTCCTCCCCGGCCCCTCCTCGGCACCCCGAGCCCTCCCTCCTCCTTCTCCTCCTCCTCTTCGCCTCCTCCTCCCGCCACCGCTTTGTGTACGGCGCGCTCCGGCCCTGCCGCCCCCCCCTCCTTCATTCCCTCCTTCTCCCCCATTCCCGGGCGGTTCGAGCCGGTTCCACCGTCACCGATCCCCCCCATCTCCATCTCCCGCCGCCGCCACCCCGAGGGGGGTTGCCGCCTTCATCCCCCGCTTCCCCGCGCCCCCCGCCTCACCTTCCTCAGCGCTGCCGCCGCTCGCTCCTACGGGGCTCCGCCGCTCTCCGGGCGAGGCGACCCGCAGGGCGCGGGGGCAGGTGGCATGAGCCCCCCCCTCACACTTGGCGGGATGCTGAGGAGGAGGAGGAGGATGAAGATGGTGATGAAGAAGAAGAAGGAATTATCCCTGGCTCTGCTCGCCCTCTCTACGTTCTGCCGGGGGGCGGCTCCGTGCTTGGCGTGCGTATGGGTTTTTCCCCCCCCTTCCTCTACTTCACCCCTCACGGAAAAGGGGGGGGGGGGATAAGAAAAAAAAGGTCGTCGGGCCCGGCGGGCTGATACAGGCGCGCGGCGCCCGCAGCCGCACCACACACAACACACACACCACACACACAAAAAGGGGACCTGGCCGGCGGATGGATACCGCTGACGTCACTTCCGCCTGCGCGCGGTGACGTCACGGGGGCCGGACCCTGAGGCGGCTGAGGGAGGGAAGGGTGGGAAAATGGCGCCGCTGGGTCGCGACCCCCGGCCGCTCCTCACGGCTCTGCCCCTCATGGGTCCGCCAGTGCTGCGGGGCCGAGGGGCTCTGAGCGGGTGAGGGCCTGGGGAGCGGCGGGAGGAGCGGCCGGCGCTGCCCCGCGGGCTGAGGCGATGCTCCCGGGCCGGTGTCCCGCGCTGGGTGTGAGCGGCCCAAGAGCCCCTCAGGGCCGGGCGGGCTGTGAGCAGCCGTCAGCCCCCACAGCTGAGGGGTGCTCGGGGCTCCTGGCCGAAATCTCCCACCTCAGGCCAAAATCGTCCAGCTGAGGGCAAAAAGTCTCCCCTTGAGGCCAAAACCGTCCAGCTGATGGCAATAATTCTCTACTTGAGGTAAAAATTATCCCCCTGAGGCCAAAATTGTCCAAATGATGGCAATAATTCTCTACTAGAGGTAAAAATTCTCCACCTCAGGCCAAGATTGTCCAGATCGGGGCAAAATCTCCCTTGTGGGGCAGGTGTTGGTAAAACAGCCCAAAAAAATGAGTGAAAAACAGCCAAAAATTGGAAAAATAAGAATTTAAATATCTTCAATAATAAAGGAACAATCCCGAAATAATAATTAAAATATCTTTATTCGTAGCAGAAAAATCCCTTTTTTTCCCCCTCCTTTTCCTGGTGGTTCGTGGAAAAAGCAGGGATATAAAAAAATGAGAATATTTTGGAAATTCCAAAATAAACATTCCCTCGGAGGAGGAAAAAAAAAAAAAGGCGGATTCCTAAAAATTTCATACTAAAGAAATTATTAATCTTTAATTTAAAAATTAATTCTCATTAGGGACAACCCCAGCAGGAATTAGGAGTGAAATCCTGATTTTCCAGAGGAAAAAAAAAAATTTTTTTTTAATTTTTTGGAATTTTTTTCCACCCAGAAAAGCCACAAAATATTTTTAAAAGTTGCTGAAATCCTGTGGGAGAAAATTCCCTGGAAACATTCCCAAAATCCCGAGGTTTTGAACCAAAACTCCTCCTGGAAACATTCCCAAAATCCCGATTTTTTCAGCCAAAACTCCTCCCTCCTTCGCTATTCCCAAATTCTTTCTCCAGGCTGGAATAAAAACCCAGGAAAATTTGCAATAAAAAGGAGAAACTCGCGGGGAAAAGCGGGAATTCCACGGAGGGAGAAGTTTGGAAGTTTCCCTTTGGCATTTTAAGGTGGAATTTTGTTTTTCCCGTAGCCTGGATCCTCCCTTGGCTCCTCCTCTCCCAAACCCCTCCCCTTTCCCCTGGGTTTCCGAGCCTTCCCCGGCTGTTTCTCCACAAAAATCCAACGCAACTCCGGGAATTCCCGTTCCCAGCCCGGTCCAGGATGGGTAAGAGATCCCAAAATCCCCCAACGATCCCAAAACACCCCAAAAATCCCAGGATTTGCTGCTTTTGGCTTCCCGGGGGTGGGAGGGGTGAAAGTCGAGCTTTTCCCTGGGTTAAAATATTTAAATATTCCCTAAACCCCCCCCCCGGGTTTTAACTAAGAGCTTGGATTCCTTCATTAAAATCCATTTTCCGTCGAATTAATTGGGAATTTATAATCCCTAGACTTCTGAAAACTGGGAGAAACTCCTGGAATTGCTCCTTGGGAACAGGAAAAACCCTTGGAAAAATCCTTAAAGATCAGATTTGAGCTTTTCCCTGACGTATTCCATATTTTTGCGGATAAATCCTTGATTTTCAGGATATTTTTCCTGATAATTTTTTTTGGAGGGCAAAACCTCGGATTTCCAGGAACTTTGACTTTTGGCTCTGTGGAAAAAAGTGGGAGGGGCCAAAAACTTGGAAACCGTTTCCATGGGTATTATTGGGAGTTCAAAACAGAGGGAAAATAGCAGGAATTTTGGGATCAAACCCAGCCAAAAATGAGGAATTTTGTGTAGCCAAAAAGTGTCAATATTCTAACAAAAAATATCCTGAATTTCCTGGAATTTTTTCACTCCCAAGTGGGATTTTTTTTTTGAGGAATTTTTTTTGGCTCCAAGTTCCTGGAAGTCAATAAAAAACTTTGGGAATGATTGACAGGCCTGGAAGGACCTGGCGGCTCCAAAAAGTTGGGGATTGTGGAAGGAAATAAATCCTGGAATGCTCTGAAAAATGAACTCCCTAAATTTCCTTGGGAATTTGGGTTTTTGGGGGAAGATTCCTGAAATTCCTGGATTTTTTCCAGTGGCTTCTCTGTTGTTTTCATTTGAATCTGAATTTTATTTTTCCCAAATTTAATCTGGATTTGCCTCCCTGGAACTTGGAATATTTTGATATTAAATATGAATAATAAATATCCTGGAATTCCAAAGAAATTCTCATTCTTTCCAGCCCTTGCTAAAATCCCAAATTTATCCCTCCTAATCTGACACTTTGGGACAACTAGGAAAGCCAAAAATTGGGATAAATTCCAATGGGTTTTTTTTCCCCTGGAATTAACAAATCCAAGGCTCAGGAATTGGGAATGAGGAATGAGGAACTGGGAATAAGGAATTGGGAAGGGGGAATTTCATGGATTTAAGGCTGGGAAATTGCAGTGGGGAATTGGCAGTGAGGAACCAATGGAAGACCCCGAATTGCCAGGATTTTTGGGCTGTGGGAATGATGGAATTTTGCCCTTTTCCAGCAGGAAAATGCGGAGCGTGCGGGCCGGGCTATCCCAGCCCTCTGGAGGCCATGAAAGGCAAGTGCCGGGCCGGCATTCCCAAATCCTGGAGCTGCTTTGGGATCGGGGGAGGGGAGGTGGATGCAGGCTGGGAAAAGCTGGAATGCGGGGCTGAGCCCGGAGTGTGCCCGCAGGGCCCCGGGAGCAGCTGCTCTACCTGCCCTGCATCTACCGCAACACCGGCCTCGGCATTCCCGACTTCCTGGCCACCGTGGATGTGGATCCTGAATCCCCTCGGTACTGCCAGGTACGGGCCTGGAGAGCCCGGGGCAATCCGGGGGAGTATGGGGAACCTGGGATCCTGAATCCGGGAAAATCCGGGGGAACCTGGGGTCCTGAATCCGGGAAAATCCGGGGGAACCTGGGGTCCTGAATGTGGGAAAATCCGGGGGAACCTGGGATCCTGAATGTGGGAAAATCCAGGGGAATCTATGAAAATCTGAGGGAACCTGGGGTCACAAATCTGGGAAACTCCAGGACAACCTGGGCTCCTGAATCTGGGAAAATTCAGGAGAACCTGGAATCCTGAATCTGAAAAACCTGGGAGAACCTGGGATCCCAAATCCAGGAAAAGCCGGGCTCCCCGATGCTCCCGCGGCCCCGGCGGGGCGGCACTCCCGGAATTGCGGGGCAGGCCGGGAGCTGGAGTGGGATGCGCCTTGCAGGTGATCCACCGGCTGCCCATGCCGCACGTGGGGGACGAGCTGCACCACTCGGGCTGGAACGCCTGCAGCAGCTGCCACGGCGACCCCTCCAAATCCAGGGATTTCCTGATCCTTCCCAGCCTCGTCTCCTCCCGCATCTACGTTGTGGACGTGGGAACCGATCCCAAGGCTCCCAGGCTCCACAAGGTTTGGAATTCCCCCCTTTTTTCCTGCTTTTTTTCCCACTTATTTTTCCCTTTTTTCATCCTTTTATCCCAATTTCTTCCTTTTTTCCCCTCTGATTTATTCTCTTTTTTTCCCATTTTTTCTCTTTTTCCCCTTTTTTTCCCCCTTTTCCCCTCAAACATTCCCACAAACCTTTGCCCACAAATCCCCATTTTCCCCCAACATGTATATTTCCAGGAATTTTCCCTTTTTTTCCCACTTTCCCCCATTCCAGGTGGTGGAAACCGAGGAATTTTCCCCATTTTCCCCATTCCAGGTGGTGGAAGCTGAGGAATTTTTCCCATTTTCCCCGTTCCAGGTGGTGGAAGCCAAGGAATTTTTCCCATTTTTCCCAGAATTTTTCCCATTTTCCCCGTTCCAGGTGGTGGAAGCCGAGGAGCTGGCCCGCAAGGCGAACGCCGCGTTCCCGCACACTTCCCACTGCCTGGGCTCCGGGGAGATCCTCATCAGCTGCCTGGGGGATCCTGATGGCAACGGAAAAGGTTCGGAATTCCTCCTGATTCCATAAAAATATCCCCAGGCATTCATTTTCCTGCAAAATCCATGGAATACTTGGAATTTGCCTGGAATTTTTAGCACATTCCTGCAGTTTTTAATTGATTTTCCAGGCTGCTTTTAATTAAAAAAAAAATGAAAGTAGATGTAAATAAATAATTTGCTTTGTATAAAGCAAAATAATTTTAGGAATTACTATTATAGGAAAAGATAAAATCCTAGAAAATTATTTTTATTACCAATAATAAAATAATGGGAAATAATTTTAGGAACTATTATTATTATTATTATTGGTAAATATAATAATTATAATGTGCAAATAAAAAATTAGTTTGCTTTATTTCAGGCGCTATAAATCTTTCCAAACTCCTTTTTTTGGGAATTTTTTCCAGGCACTTTTGTCCTCCTGGATGGAGAAACCTTTGAAGTGAAAGGAAATTGGGAGAAAGGAGGAAAAATCCCAAATTTGGGCTACGACTTCTGGTACCAGCCCCGGCACAACGTCATGCTCAGCACCGAGTGGGGCGTCCCCAAAGTCCTGACCCAGGGATTCGATCCCAAGGATGTGGAGAAAGGTCAGTGGGAAATCCTGGAAAACTCCATTCTTGAGAGCAGAAACTCATAAAAAATACAATTTTTGAGAGTGAAAACTTCAAAAAATCCAAATTTTGTGTGAAAATTCCTAGAAAAAAAAAAATCCGAATTTTGACCTTAAAAACTCCTCAAAAATTCAATTTCCCACCTGTAAAACCCCTAAAAAAAAAAATCCCAATTTTTTTTTCCTAAATCCTGCTTTTATCCCCAGTTTCTCTCTGAACCGCTGAATATTCCATAAAAACCGGGAATTTTGGGAACATCTCCCCTTTCCCAGGGCACTACGGGCGCCACATCAACGTGTGGGACTGGGCCGAGCGGCGCCTGGTGCAGGAGCTGGACCTGGGCGCGGGCTCCGTCCCGCTGGAGATCCGCTTCCTGCACGAGCCGCGCGCCGCGCAGGGCTTCGTGGGCTGCGCCCTGAGCGGGCAGATCCAGAGGTTCCACCGGAGCCCCGTGAGCCCCCCGGCACCCAGGGGAATCCGCTGGCACTCGGGCCTTTTGACGTGGGATTCCGGAGGGTTTGGGGCAAAACCTGCAGGAATCGGGGCTTTTGCCATGGGATTCCAGAGGGTTTGGGGCGAAACCTGCAGGAATCGTGGCTTTTGCCATGGGATTCCGGAGGGTTTTGAGGTTTTTCCATGGAATTCCTGGGATTTGGGGCAAAACCTGCAGGAATCGTTGCTTTTTGCATGGGATTAAGGAGGGTTTGGGGCAAAACCTTCAGGAATTGGGGCTTTTTCCATGGGATTCCAGAGGGTTTGGGGCAAAACCTTCAGGAATTGGGGCTTTTTCCATGGGATTCTGGAGGGTTTTGAGGTTTTTCCATGGAATTCCTGGGATTTGAGGCAAAACCTGCAGGAATCGTGGCTTTTGCCATGGGATTCCGGAGGGTTTTGAGGTTTTTCCATGGAATTCCTGGGATTTGGGGCAAAACCTGCAGGAATCGTGGCTTTTGCCATGGGATTCCAGAGGGTTTTGAGGTTTTTCCATGGAATTTCTGGGATTTGGGGCAAAACCTGCAGGAATCGGGGCTTTTGCCATGGGATTAAGGAGGGTTTGGGGCAAAACCTTCAGGAATTGGGGCTTTTTCCATGGGATTCCAGAGGGTTTGGGGCAAAACCTTCAGGAATTGGGGCTTTTTCCATGGGATTCCAGAGGGTTTTGGACAAAAACTGCAGGAACTGGGGCATTTTTTCATGGGATTCCAGAGGGGTTTTCGTTTTTTTCATGGAATTCCTGGGGTTTTGGGGGAATCTCTGTGGTTTTACTGCTGTGGGATTGTGATGTGGAGTGGATATTCCATGTGTTTTGGGAATTTGGGAAGAATAATTCCATACTTTCCATCCCTCAGGAAGGAAAATGGGAAGCAGAGAAGGTGATTGAGGTGCCCAACAAGAAAGTCCAAGGATGGCTCCTCCCAGAAATGCCAGGTCAGTGGGAGAAATTTGGGAAAAATTTGGGAATTTTCTTGTGGATCCAGAGCAGATTTTGGTGGAATTCTATGCTTAAATGGCAAAAAATTCCAAATGTTGGGGTCTTTTTGAGGGAGAATTTTGGGATGAGCAAAGGAACCCCAGAGTGGGATCTGCTCTGTGCTGGGTGTGGGATTTTCCAGGAAAATCCGTGGAATTTGGGTCTGGGTTTGCTCAGGAATGAGCCTGGGAATGCTGGAGAGACTTGGAACAATTACCAAGGTTGATGTCCCACGAAGATCCTTTGAATTTGCATTTGAATTGGCTCCATCCTTTTTTTCTCCATAAAATCCCTGCAATTTGGGTCTGGATTTCCTCAGGAATTCTGGAAGTTCCCCCGGGAATTCAGGAATAATTTCCAAGGTTGACTTTGTTCCTCCCACCTCCTTCCCGACCCCATTTTTTGGCATTTCCACGCGGGAACTTTGGGGTTTCTGGGATTCTCTCAGCTTCCATTCCCTGATTTTTCTCTGGAATTCCCTTGGGAAGGGCTGATCACGGATATCCTGATTTCCCTGGACGACAGATTCCTGTACTTCAGCTGCTGGCTCCACGGGGACGTGCGGCAGTACGACATCTCCGACCCCAAAAATCCCAAACTGGTGGGGCAGGTGAGGAAGAAATTCCCAAAAAACCCAATTCCCGCAGTTTTGAAGGGATTCATTCAGTTTTCCCATGGATTTTAATGGTTTTCCAGGTTTTTCTGGGAGGCAGCATCTCCAAAGGGGGAGCTGTGACCGTGGTGGAGGATCGGGAATTGCAGGATCAGCCGGAGCCGTGCGTGATCCAGGTGAAGATTCCCAAATTTTTTTTCCCGATTCTTCCCAGATTTTTGGAAATTCTCCCGACATCCAAAGCCCCTCCTTAAGTTGTTCCCACCTGGATTTTCCTTCTTTAGGGATAGGTTTCATCCCATAAATCCCAATTTTTTCTCTGGAAAAAATCATGGAATTAAGAAATTTGAGGAAAAATTCATGGATATTCCACTTCAACTATTAATCGATGGTTTTTCCATGGAAAATTCTAAGATGGGGAATAAAAAATCTCTTGGATACCCCCAGGGCAAGGAAATTCTGGAATTTTCACCCCTGGAATTCTAGGAAAATCTCTTGGGGAGGTGAGGATGGGACAAAAAGAACCAGAAAAGGGAATTCCTGCCAAAAATTGGGAAAAACCCTTGGATTTGGTGTCTCCCATGGGGTTTTTCCAACCTTAATCATTCCAGAATCCTCTAAAAAAAAATTCCAGAGCATTCCAAACCCTTCATCCTTTATTCCCTGACTCATCTCCAGCCATTCCAGTACTCCCATCCTGAGGCAAAAATTCCCCAAAAATTCCTTTTTCTCCCCAAAATTGAGGATTGGCCATTCCTGACTCTGGGATTTTGGAGCCCCTGGTTGGTTTTTTCCCCAAAAATTCCCCAAAAATTCAATTTTTTCCCCAAAGCTGGGGATTGGCCGCTCCCCACTCGGGGATTTCGGAGCCCCTGGTTGGTTTTTTCCCCAAAAATTCCCCAAAAATTCAATTTTTTCCCCAAAGCTGGGGATTAGCCGCTCCCCACTCGGGGATTTCGGAGCCCCTGGATGGTTTTTCCCAATTTCAGGGGAAGAGGATCCCGGGGGGGCCGCAGATGCTGCAGCTGAGCCTGGACGGGCGCCGGCTCTACGTGACCACGTCGCTGTTCAGCGCCTGGGACCGGCAGTTCTACCCCAGCCTGCTCACGTGAGCCCTCTGACAGGGACTCCTATTGACTGGTTAACAATGGGTTAATAACCGCTTCCTGGGTGTTACTGGTTATTGGTTGGTTAACTGGTTATCAGTCGGTAATGGTTGGTCATTAATTGGTGCTTAAATGGTTGTTAGTTGATGGTTAAATGGTTGTTAGTTGATTGTTAAATGGTTGTTAGTTGATGGTTAAGTGGTTGTTAGTTGATGGTTAAATGGTTGTTAGTTGATGGTTAAATGCTTATTAATTCATTGCTGATTGGTCCTTAATTGGTTATGCATTGATTAATAATCTGTATTTGTCAATTATTAACAATTAATAACAATAATTAATAATTAATTCATAACCAATTAATAGTTAGTTGTTAATTCCAAATGTTGGGGTCTTTTTGAGGGGGAATTTTGGGGTGAATTTTGGCTTATTAGTTGATTATTAATTCCATCATTTAATCACATCAGCAAAGCCTTTTCCCTGCCCCAACCCCTTTTCCCAGTTCCTTTTTTTTAATTCCCACGTTTTTCCCGGGTGTTCCAGGGAGGGCTCGGTGCTGCTGCAGCTGGACGTGGACACGGAGCGGGGGGGCTTGGCCGTGAATCCCAAATTCCTGCTGGATTTCGGGAAGGAGCCGGGCGGGCCCTGCCTGGCGCACGAGGTGCGCTACCCGGGGGGGGACTGCACCTCCGACATCTGGCTGTGATCCCGGAACGTTCCGGAATGTTCGGGAATAATTGGGAATGGGGGGATGTGGGACTGCACCTCCGACATCTGGCTGTGATCCCGGGAAATTGGGAATTCGGGGACTGCACCTCCAACATCTGCCTCTGATCCCAGGAAATTCAGAATTTATCCCATTTTTTCCTGCTCCTTTCCTCTCTCCATCCCCTTTTCCCAGGGAATTTGGGGTGCCTGGGGCTTCATCTGCTCCCAAAATTCCCATTCCAGAGCAGTCTCTCCTAAAAATCATCTCTGATATTTCTGATCAAAAATCAAAAATCCCAATAAAATTCTCCTTCCAGCAGCAAAAATTTCTTTTTTCTTTTGGGGCTTTTGGGCATTTTTGGCATTCTTGGATAAAAAAACCATGTCACTTTCCAACACTTTTCCACCTTATTTGTTGTATAGAGATAAGATAGGGATAAAAAGGGAATAGATAGGAATAAAATACAAAATAAATAGGGATAAAATAGGGGGAAATATGGATAAAATACAGGCAGAAATAGATAAAAACAATGATAAAATAGAGAGGGAAAATAGGGATAAAGCAGAGGTAAAATAGGGAGAAAGTATAAATAAAATTGAGAAAAATAGGGAAAAAAGGGGATAAAATCCCCAGCTGGAAGCGAAGCCCCGGGAAAAGCCCCGCGCCGGGGGCTGCCCCTCACCTGCCCCACCAGCCGGGGCTTGCAGTTCCTGGCCAGCTCGTACTGCCGGATGTCCCCGTGCAGCCAATTGCACACGTACAGGAACCGGTCGTCCGGGCTGATGACGAGGTCGGCGATGAAGGCTGCGGGCAGAGCCGGGGCTCAGGGCCGCGGGCAGAGCCGGCCCACGGCACACGGGCCTGGGCTGGGCTGGGCTTTGGGGCAGGGACCGGGACTATGGGCTAGGCCAGGCTTTGGGCTCAGCCAGGCTTTGGGCTCAGGCAGAATTTGGGGTCTCCCGGCAGGATTTGGGGTCTCCCGGCAGGATTTGGGGTCACCAGCCGGGCTCTGGGGTCACCCGGCAGGGTCTGGGGTCACCCAGCCGGGCTCTGGGGTCACCCCGCGGGCTGTGCCCGGCTGCAGAACTCGCCCAGGGAACAGGAATGCCACCCCCGAGGGCACACGCACCTGGCATCTTGGGCATGATCCAGCCCGACACGTCCTTGGCCGGGATCCGGATCACCTCCTCCACGGCCCAGTTGTCTCTCTGCACAGGGACACCGAGCCCGGCTCAGCCCGCGCTGCCCCCGCCCCGCCCCGAGCCGAGCCGAGCCGAGCCGGGCACGACGGGCTCACCCCGCTGCCCCCGAGCCCCGCTGCCCCGGCCCCTCCCTGTCCCCGCTCCTCCTCCTCCTCCTCCTCCTCCTCCTCCTCCTGCTGCTGCTGCTCCTGCTCGCGGTCCCCGCAGCCCCGGGCTCTGCCGGGCTCGCACTCGCCTCGCAGGATTTGTAGAAGCGGAAGATGGCCCCGCTCAGGGCACAGCCCACGTAGCCCTCGGCGGCCTCGGGGCTGTGCAGGAAGCGCACGCTCAGCGGCAGAGAATCCTCGCCCAGGTCGAAGCACTGCGTGAGGCTGCGGCACGACAGGTTCCACACGTTCAGGCGGCGGCCGAAGACCCCTGCGGGACACGGGGGAAAGGCTCGGGGCCGGCCGGGGACAGGGAGCGCCCCCCGAAGGGCTCCTGCTGGGCATGGGCACGGAAAGGGCAGGGACTGGGAGGGAACTGGGACAGGGAACTGGGAAATGCAGGAACTGGGGAGAGCACAGAGAAATGCCGGATTTGGGGAGAGCACAGAGAAATGCCGGATTTGGGGAGAGCACAGAGAAATGCCGGATTTGGGGAGAGCACAGAGAAATGCCGGATTTGGGAGCAGCCCGGCCCTGCCCACCCGGGGTCCCACCCTGCCCATCCTCAGCCCGAGCCTGGCCAAGGCTCTGGGGCACAAATCGGCCTCTCGGGGGCACCGGGCCCCGCCAGCCCCCGCTCAGCCCTGCCAGCGCTGCCGCCCGCCTGTCCCCACCTTTCTTGAGGTCATCGGGGTTGAAGCCACGCCCGGCCACCTTGGGCACCAGCCCGGCCGAGCTGACCAGGACGTTGTGCCGCGCCTGGTACCAGAAGTCGTAGCCGGTCGGGGGAGCCTCACACTCGTTCTCCCAGTTGCCCTTCAGCTCGAAGGTCTCTCCGTCCAGCACCACGAAGCCACCTGGCACACACGAGGGAAGCCCGGGATGGGAGTTTGGGCAGGGAAATGGGAATTCCAGCCATAAAATGGGAATTCAGCCATAAAATGGGAGTTCCGGTGGGAAAATTCACCTTTGCCGTTGCCAGCGGGGTCGCCCGTGTTGGCGACCAGGACGTCCCCGTTGGGCAGGGGGTGGGTGACAGCCAGGTAGCCCTTGTTGCACTTCCAGAACACATCCACGGGCTCGATCATCTGCAAAAACCAGCGCGAATTTCAGCCTCCGCCTGCTCGGCGCCTTTCCCGGCAGCCCAGAATCCAGCACAGGATCCGTCCTCCCTCCCTGGCTCGGTCCCGGTGCCGCCGCCGTTCCCCGCTCCGTCCCTCGCTGCCGCCCCGGGCTCCCCCCGGCCGTACCTTGCAGATCCGAGGCGCCCGGCACTGGGAGCCCACATCCACCACGTAGATGCGGGAGGAGATGAAGCAGGGCAGCACCAGCTTGGTCCTTTTGGCCGCGGCGCCGCTGTCGAAGCAGCCGCAGGCGGGGCCCCAGCCCGCGCAGTGCAGCTCGTCCTTGAGGTTGGGCATGGGCAGCCGGTGGATCACCTGGGCACGGCCAAGGCAGCTCAGCCCGGGCCGAGCCGGGACATCCCGCGGGGAGCGGCCCCGGGGCGTGGGGAGCCCCGAGAGGGGCCGGGAGCGGCCCCGGGGCGTGGGGAGCCCCGAGAGGGGCCGGGAGCGGCCGGGAGCAGAGGGGACAGAGTGGCAAAGGTTTTCCTCCGTTCCCCGGGCACAAAGAGCTCCCCGGGCGGCCCCGGAGGGCTCGGGGGGCGCAGCCCCGGCTCGGTCCCGCCCCGGGGAGCCCGGCAGGGGCCGGTACCTGGCCGTAGGTGCAGGAGCGCGGGTTGAGGTCCACGGTGGCCAGGAAATCGGGCTGGTCGATGCAGGTGGACCTGTAGGTGCAGGTCACGTAGGCGACCTCCTCCCTCGGCGCTGGGGACACAAAAGCGCGCTCGAACCGCGCCGGGAAGCCCCGAGCGGCGCGGGGAGAGCTCCGGGCCGCTCTCCGAAATGACCGCCCTGATTTTCGGGGCGCTGCGATTCCCCCCAGCTGCCCCCGGACGGCCCTGGGGCCGCTCCCGACCCGGGAACAACCGGGAGGAATCTCCGGCAGTTCGGGGAAAGGGGCTCAGCACGGACACTGAGCTCGGGGGACCCCAAAGAGCCCAAAGCCCCCCGCCCAGCCCTGCCCCATGGCCAGCACTCGCCTTTCAGCACGTCGGGGCACGCGGGGTACTCGTAGCACGGAGCTCTGCATCTGTCTGGGGAGCAGAGGGGACCCCGTCAGCCCGGCCCTGGCCCCGCGCCCACTCCAGAGGGTCCCTCCCACCCCAGCGACCCCCGGCGCCAGCCCGGGGCCACCCCAGCCCTCCCTGGGCACGGCGGCGAGCGCTCGGGGTGGCGCTGCCACCTCCCGGCTCCGGGAGAGGGACCCTGGGGACAGCCGAGCCCTGCTGGGGACACCTGCGGACAGCGCGGGGACCCCTCCCCACCGCGGGGACGGGACAGAGCCCGCACGGGACGGGGACAGAGCTGTCACCCGGAGCCGGGACACGCCGGAAGCTCCAGCAGGGACAATCCCTCTGCATCCCGGGCCCCGGGGCGGGGCAGGGCCCCCAGGAGCCCCCAAGGCCCCGCAGAAGCTCCGGGAGCAGCAGCCCCGGGGGCAGAGCTCGGGCCCGGCTCCCCCCTCGTGCCCGGGCACAAAGGCACCTGTGCCCCGGTGTGCCCGGGCCGTCCCCGCAGCGCCGGGCGGGGCTGGAGCCCGGCCCGGCCCGGGGCTGCGGGCCCGGGGCTGCGGGGGGAGCCCGCCAGGGTCCCTTACCCATGGCTGCTGCTCTGGGGGTCGCGGCGCTGGCGGCGGAGGAGCCGGAGCTGAGGGGCAGCTGCTGCTGGCTCGGGGCTGGAGCGGCTGTGCCGTGCCCTGGCTGCTCCCGGGGGCCTTTTATCCCCGCCCGGGCTGGGGGGAGCGGGGCCCAGCCCAGGGAGGGGCTGCCCAGCGCTTGGGAGGTGCCAGCCCGGCGCTGCGGCTTCTTTCCTCCTCCCCGCCGCCAATCTGGGCCCAAATCTGCTGCTCCTGCAGCTCCCGAACCTCAAACGCCGCCGGCCCCGCTGAGCCCGGCTCGCTCCGCACGGAGCCAGCGCGGTCCCGAGCGGGCTCTGCCCGGGGACAGGAGCTGGGGGCTGATCCTGGAGAAAAAGGGGATCCCGGGGGGATTTGGGATCTGCTAGGGGACACCGGGGATCTAATCCCAGGGAATGGGACAGGACAAGAAGGAGCGTCATCGAGCTGTGCCAGGGGAGGCTCAGGGTGGGAAGTTGGGGGAAATTCTTCCTCACAAAGGGAAAAGGCCTTGGAAGGGGCTGCCCGAGGGGGTTCGGAGTGGCCACCCCTGAGAATTCCTGGAATTTGTCTGGTGACCAGGGGGATTGGTCCCATCTTGGACTCGATGACCATGGAAGGATTTTCCAACCCCCAAAATCCTGGAATTCTCTGAAAGGTCCCTTTAACACTCGGTGGAATTTCCAAATCCAAATAACTCTGGAATTCTCAGAAAGGTCCCTTTAGCACTCAACGCTATTTCCAAACATCAAAAGCAGTTCCTAAATCCGCCCAAAATGAGCGAATCCTACAAAAACCAAAGCAAATGAACGTTTGGGAGAGCTCGAAATTCCCGTGCTGAGCCTGGCCGGGAGGAGATAAAGTTGCGGCTGATAAAATGAAGTTGCTGATAAGAGCTGGGATTACTTCCTGCCCCTCCCTGGCCCAGGTGAGCTGGGCTGGTTCTCCCTGTGCTCACCTGCGGCTTTTCCATGACCAGAGGTGGGGGCAGCGTCCCCCCAGCCCGGTTCGGGAAGTTTCCCGGCTTCTCCTGCTCATCCCCACTTCCCATAATCCAGGGAAAATCAGATTTCTCCGTTCCTGACAGTGCAGATCGCGGTTATCTCCCCCGATTTGGAAGGGATTCATCTGGGATCTGTCCCGCCCATCCCTAAAAGCCTCTGGAGCTGGACATTCCTGCCCCGTGGAGGGAGGAAAGGCCACCCCGAGCCTTTCAAGTCCCTCATTCCAAGCGGATCCAGAGGAGCGAGAGACGCCCTGGAATTATCTCGGGCTTTGGCGGCTCCTCGGGGGCTGCTCGCCCAAAAAGCTTCAAAGCCTTGGGAATTTTGGGACCCGGCCCAGGGCAGCGGTTCCTCCTCGCCGGCTTTTCCTGCTGGTGTGGGGAGCCCGGGTGTTCCCTGGAATAATCCCGACCCGGGAGAATTCGGGGTTTGGGTCCCCCGTGTGTCCCCCCGGCAGGGACAGGGACGGGGACAGGGACAGGGACAAATCTCCTCCCCTGTCCCCACCCTGTCCTCGGTCCCTTTCCCGGCGGGTCAGTGTCCCCGCTCCGGCTGCAGCAGAGCCCCCGGGTTTTGGGGATTTGGCACCAAGGAAAAGCAGCTCGCGGGTTCCCCCCAGTGTGATTTTTTTTTCCCCCGTTTTTTTTCTGATGCTGGAGCGGGGAACAAACTCCAGAGCTCATCCGTTGCCACCTGCCTTCCACAGGCCGGGGAATTCTGGATTTTGTCACATTTTCAGATGAACTCGGGAGCCAGCTCCCAGAAATCACCCTTTTCCCACCGAACCATCAGAAAATCAGGGAATTCGTGGCTTGGAAGGGAATTTGAGCTCAAGGCTTCCCGATGGGAGAGCTGGGAACGCTGCACGGCCCCGGGGGCGGCTCGTGGGTGGAATTCCAGCCCCCGGGAAGGAATGACCAGAGGGATTTGGGGCTCGCTCCGTGAATGGAAAGGTTTTCCCGAAGTCCGCCGGTGCTCAGCGCCCGGCTGAGGGTCCGGATGAGGCCGAGGCTGGGAAGGGAGGACGGAGAATGGGCGCAGGAAGTCGGGATTTAGGGACGGGAAGTGCTGAAGGAGCCCCGGCCCGCTGGGGCAGCCGCGGGGGCTCGGGGCAGGGCCCGGGGGAAGCCGAAGCGCCGCCGGGAGCTGCGGGAGGCCGGGAGCTGTCCGAGGTGGCGGCGGAGGCGCCGCTCCCGCGTTCCCGAGCCCCGGCGCTGCTCCCGCCGGGGCAGCCGGTGCTGGCCCCGGGAGCGGCCGCAGGGTGCCGGGGCTCGTCCTGCGGCCGCGGGAGCTGCGCTCGGCCCGCGCTTATCTCGCTCTTATCAGCGCCGTGGGGACACGCGAGCGCCGAGCGGGGACAGGGAGGGACACGGCGACGTCAGCTCGGGAAGCCACCGGGAGCAGCGCGGCTCGTTAATGAGGGGCGGGCTAATGAGCTGGCTAATGAGGGGCGGGCTAATGAGCTGGCTAATGAGCGGGTGTGCAGAGCCAGGGAGGGAGGCGCGGGCACGTGGGGACAGCAGGGGCAGCGCAGGGGACACCGAGGGGTGTCCGGGGGTGCAAGGCGGGGCTGGAGCCAAGGGCGGCCCCGGGACAGAGCCTCTTTGGTACTTTTTCACCCCAAACCCGATCCGTTCTCTCGACTTTGCTGCTCGCACTGCGCAGGGAAGGCCCGCAAGGCGCTGGCCGCCGCCCTGTGCCCCGTGCCCGGTGCCCAGGGTTGTCCTGGAGCCCGAGGAGCCTCAGGGCCAGCCCTGGCCAGGGGGGTTGAGCTGTCCCCGCTGCTGGGGACACCCCGGGGCTCCTCGCCGGGCCCTCGGCGGTGCCCTGTGCCCGGGCAGCCCTTTCCAGAGCTGGGAGCCGCATTCCAGGGCGCTGTGTCCCTCGCTGTGGCACTGCAGGCGGCCAGGCCGGTGGTGGCCTCGGGAGGGGACCCTGCTGCGAGCCCTCGGGGCCTGGGGCAGTTTTCGGGCCACTTCAGCCCAGTTTGGGTCAAATCCAGCCCGGCTGGTGCCACTTTTGTGCTGGTGGCACCCGGGGCTGGGGCTGGGCATGGCCCAGGGGCTTGGGGACACTTGGGGGTGAACAGAGGGTTGGGGACAGTCTCTGGTGACCCTTCCAGCCCCAACTGCCCGTGCCGAGCTCCCCAACTCCCCCTTGTCTCCAGCTGACCCCACGTCCCCACCTACAGGTGCCACCCTGGGAGGCTGCCCCGTGTCCTGCCCTGGCTCCTGCTGCCCCAGGAGGCTCAGGGTGGATTTCCTGGGGATCCCCGGTGTCCCCGGGATCTGTCCCCATTCCCTGGGATCCCCTAAGCAGCTCCCCGAGCCCGTACGGGTGTCCCCGAGCTCCTGTCCCCGGGCAGAGCCCGCT